TTTAAATATTTCTATAATAGTTTTTGTTAATTTGCATTTTTATTGAAGTGTTTTGTGAAATTTTTAATGTCAGTTTTCTTGAATGATATGTCTTAATTTGTTAAGATTTCTATGATTTTGTAATTAAACAGTAAGTTTAATAAACAACAAATATACACATTTTAATTGAATACATTGTTGTGAAAAACGCTACAATTCAACATGTTTATTAGAGTTATAGACAACATTGATCGGTCTTTTTCACTTTTGCGCTTTAAACAATGTTGCCACCTTTTAGTAAAATGCTGTGATTAACTAATGCAAACTAAAACTATACGTTATATTTCGTATCCTAGACTATAGACTAGACTATAGACTAGACTATAGACTAGACTATAGACTAGACTATAGACTAGACTATAGACTAGACTATAGACTAGACTATAGACTAGACTATAGACTAGACTATAGACTAGACTATAGACTAGACTATAGACTAGACTATAGACTAGACTATAGACTAGACTATAGACTAGACTATAGACTAGACTATAGACTAGACTATAGACTAGACTATAGAATAGACTGTAGACTGGACTATAGAATAGACTATAGACTAGACTATAGACTAGACTATAGACTAGACTATAGACTAGACTATAGACTAGACTATAGACTAGACTATAGACTAGAATATAGACTAGACTATAGACTGGGACTATAGACTAGACTATAGACTAGACTATAGACTAGACTATAGACTAGACTATAGACTAGACTATAGACTAGACTATAGACTAGACTATAGACTAGACTATAGACCTAGACTATAGACTAGACTATAGAACTAGACTAGTAGACTAGACTATAGACTAGACTATAGACTAGACTATAGACTAGACTATAGACTAGACTATAGACTAGACTATAGACTAGACTATAGACTAGACTATAGACTAGACTATAGGACTAGACTATAGACTAGACTATAGACTAGACTATAGACTAGACTATAGAATAGACTATAGACTAGACTATAGACTAGACTATAGAACTAGACTAGACTATAGACTAGACTATAGACTAGACTATAGACTAGACTATAGACTAGACTATAGACTAGACTATAGACTAGACTATAGACTAGACTATAGACTAGACTATAGACTAGACTATAGACTAGACTATAGACTAGACTATAGACTAGACTATAGACTAGACTATAGACTAGACTATAGACTAGACTATAGACTAGAATATAGACTAGACTATAGACTGGATTATAGAATAGACTGTAGACTGGACTATAGAATAGACTGTAGACTGGACTATTGACTAGACTAGACTATTTACCAGACTATAGACTAGACTATATACTAGACTATAGACTAGACTATAGACTAGACTATAGACTAGACTATAGACTAGACTATAGACTAGACTATAGACTAGACTATAAACTAGACTATAGACTAGACTATAGACTAGACTATAGACTAGACTATAGACTAGACTATAGACTAGACTATAGTCTAGACTAGACTATAGACTAGACTATAGACTAGACTATAGACTAGACTATAGACTAGACTATAGACTAGACTAGACTATAGACTAGACTATAGACTAGACTAGACTATAGACTAGACTATAGACTAGACTAGACTATAGACTAGACTATAGACTAGACTAGACTATAGACTAGACTATAGACTAGACTAGACTATAGACTAGACTATAGACTAGACTATAGACTAGACTATAGACTAGACTATAGACTAGACTATAGACTAGACTATAGACTAGACTAGACTATAGACTAGACTATAGACTAGACTAGACTATAGACTAGACTATAGACTAGACTAGACTATAGACTAGACTATAGACTAGACTATAGACTAGACTAGACTATAGACTAGACTATAGACTAGACTAGACTATAGACTAGACTATAGACTAGACTATAGACTAGACTAGACTATAGACTAGACTATAGACTAGACTATAGACTAGACTAGACTATAGACTAGACTATAGACTAGACTAGACTATAGACTAGACTATAGACTAGACTATAGACTAGACTAGACTATAGACTAGACTATAGACTAGACTATAGACTAGACTATAGACTAGACTAGACTATAGACTAGACTATAGACTAGACTAGACTATAGACTAGACTATAGACTAGACTAGACTATAGACTAGACTATAGACTAGACTATAGACTAGACTAGACTATAGACTAGGACTATAGACTAGACTAGACTATAGACTAGACTATAGACTAGACTATAGACTAGACTAGACTATAGACTAGACTATAGACTAGACTATAGACTAGACTAGACTATAGACTAGACTATAGACTAGACTAGACTATAGACTAGACTATAGACTAGACTATAGACTAGACTAGACTAGGACTAGACTAGACTAGACTAGACTATAGACTAGACTATAGACTAAGACTATAGGACTAGACTATAGAAGACTAGACTATAGACTAGACTATAGACTAGACTATAGACTAGACTATAGACTAGACTATAGACTAGACTAGACTATAGACTAGACTAAGACTAGACTAGACTATAGACTAGACTATAGACTAGACTATAGACTAGACTATAGACTAGACTATAGACTAGACTATAGACTAGACTAGACTATAGACTAGACTATAAGACTAGACTATAGACTAGACTATAGACTAGACTATAGACTAGACTATAGACTAGACTATAGACTTGACTATAGACTAGACTATAGACTAGACTATAGACTAGACTATAGACTAGACTATAGACTAGACTATAGACTAGACTATAGACTAGACTATAGACTAGACTATAGACTAGACTATAGACTAGACTATAGACTAGACTATAGACTAGACTATAGACTAGACTATAGACTAGACTATAGACTAGACTATAGACTAGACTATAGACTAGACTATAGACTAGACTATAGACTAGACTATAGACTAGACTATAGACTAGACTATAGACTAGACTATAGACTAGACTATAGACTAGACTATAGACTAGACTATAGACTAGACTATAGACTAGACTATAGACTAGACTATAGACTAGACTATAGACGACTATAGACTAGACTAGACTAGACTATAGACTAGACTATAGACTAGACTATAGACTAGACTATAGACTAGACTATAGACTAGACTATAGACTAGACTATAGACTAGACTATAGACTAGACTATAGACTAGACTATAGACTAGACTATAGACTAGACTATAGACTAGACTATAGACTAGACTATAGACTAGACTATAGACTAGACTATAGACTAGACTATAGACTAGACTATAGACTAGACTATAGACTAGACTATAGACTAGACTATAGACTAGACTATAGACTAGACTATAGACTAGACAATAGACTATACTATAGACTAGACAATAGACTATACTATAGACTAGACTAAAATTAAATTATAAACAATTTTTAATTATTTCAAAAGTTGTGTGAATGTTAATGACCTTTAATACAATGTAATAAACGTTGTCTGTAATATGACTGAACCGTATAGACATTTTTCTTAGTAATAAATTAAAAATATACAAAAATTATGAAGTCATTAGTGAAAATTTCTAACCATGACTTGCTTAAACCAAAAGGGCAGGGTTAAAAACGAAAATAATTGCAAAAATTATTTCATAAATTAAAATTATTATTAGAAATTATTCACAAATTATACAATAAAGGGGAATTTTATTTTCCATGCATTAGTAACAACACTTCTGTCTCTCAATGTCACCTCTTTTCACAGTTAATAGCTCTTTGATGTTTGCGGCAATATTGCCACATTACTTTCGGTTTAATAAAAATCGCTGAAAATATTAACCTATTAGTGATTTTCTTTATAAATTACTTATTTATTGCAAATTTTAAACTTAAATATTATTTCAAAATTAAACAATTCATAATTACAGCTGACCCTACTAAAAGAATTAGTAATTTTACTTGCCGCCAAAGTAATAATAATTTAAATATGTATTTATATTATTTATTTGTTTTGCTTTGTATGTCTGTCAGTTGTCATACTAATTTCAATGTTATTGACAATTTTTTTTAAATGTCGACAAATATTGTATATGACACGCATTATTAAAATTATGACAACAATGTGTTAAATGTTATTCCCCAAATATGTCTCATACATATATTTAATGAAATAAATTTTAAATTAAACCCCAAATGGCAATAAAAATATTTAATGCTGGGAAACAAATCTACAGACAAGAATAATACTGAAAACCTTGTTCTTTGTGAGATCCTCTAAGAAACTTAACTAAATGCTTTGGTTTTATTTTACACATTTAAGGGTTAAATACATTATTATGGTGTCACAAATTAGTCAGATTATTATTTATGTAGTAGTTTTAAAAACAAATTGTAGACACTTTTGCAAAACAAATGTTTAATAATAAATAATAGATATGAGTCAGTTTTGAATAAAGTTATGGATTTTTATTTACATATTTAAACTATCTATCTATCTATCTATCTATCTATCTATCTATCTATCTATCTATCTATCTATCTATCTATCTATCTATCTATCTATCTATCTATCTATCTATCTATCTATCTATCTATCTATCTATCTATCTATCTATCTATCTATCTATCTATCTATCTATCTATCTATCTATCTATCTATCTATCTATCCAATTTCCAGTGTTATATTGATATGGCAACCTCTTCCCATTGTTTACATTTTAGCGTTAGATGACAGGCAATTTAAATTAAATTTAGAGGTTTATTAAAAACAAACTCAACTTTAAACGTTTTCTTAATCGCATATATAATAAATAAAAGATTAATTTTAAATCTTTACAATCACCTGTTTCTAAAAATCAAAAAGTAACTAGATTTTGAATAAAATAAAGTGTTAAACAGAGATTCCAAAGAAAACAAAAGATTACAGAACAAGTTAAATTAGTTTAATTATATTATTTTTCTTATTTCAATTTACAGATAACTTGAAAACAAAATAAAATAAATTATAAACAAATTAAATAAAACAAAAGCTGACAAGTTTCTTTAAACAGCAGAACATAATTCAAATACAAAATAAAAATTAACACAGTATTTAATTAAAAAAATACAAAAAGAAATCACTGAAATTATCTTAAAGATAATAAAGAGAGGAACAAACAAAAAAAGTAAACAAATGTCGTTCAAAAGAAGATAACAGACAAATATATTATAAATAAGTGTAAAATAAATCTTTTTTGTGTTAAAGTGTAAAATAAACAAACCCTAAAAACAGCAAAAAATTAGGCAGCAGAAAAAATCGCTTGAAAACCAAGAAAGAAAAAACACCGTTAAAAAACATAATAATTCCCCCGCCCTATACTCACACATTAAACCAAACCAATGGCCACAAATTGCGAATATATTGAGGAAAATTTAAAGCAACAGCAAAAATGTGGCATTTCCAAATCGGCCTCCTTATCGAGTATGACACACGAGGAGAAACAGGATAGCACCGAGAAATCCCCTAGTAAATCCTCATTTTCCGATACCTCCTCGGAAGTGGGCAGTACTAGTGGTGGTGGAGGAGGTGGTAGTGGGCAGAGCCCCAGTACTTTGCAAAAATCTAAAAAATTACAAAATAATGGACATTTACCCATTGTACCCTCCATAGGAGATTGTGTTTTTGAACATGCTTTTGAAAAGTCTATGGATGATTTGGAACATGGTGGCAATGATGGCTATGAAACCGATTCGGAGACTTCATTGAATGGAGATCATGAAGAAGAACCGTTTAAAGAATTAACCAGCAGTAACAGTGAAAATTTAACCTGTTCTACTGGTTTAGGTTCGGGTCCTCTAAGAACCTTTCCCAAATCGAATTCTTTTGAATATCACAGCAGTAGTACCGATTCGGATGAAGATGCTGAGGATGGTATTATTCATGCGGCCATAAATATGTCTCCGAAATTCTGTAATTCTGATATATTTCAAATGCGTCCTTACCTCATGCCTTTTATAGAGCGCAGACGTTTGTCTCAGTGCAAAGAGGAGGAGGATGAAGATGAGGCTGATAAATCACCACAACCCCAGGGGGATCAACCTCCCAAATATGAAAAGGCTATACCTGCTCCCCCACCACCGCCACCTGCTAAAGACAAAGCCTCAGCTGAGAAATTTAAAGATTTGGAGCGTTTAAGGCAACAATTTATGCATAAAATTGATAGTATCAATACCAGCAATGTGGATGATATTAAAACGGTGACTGTTACCCCGGAAATGTCTTCCCCACCGCCTCCACCGCCCATACCACCCACTATATTACCACCAGCCTTAATAAATCTACTCGAATCGGCCAAATCCACCACATCCGCGAAAACAGCAACAACTACTGCTTCCTCTATACCAACCACCCCTGTTAATACCAGCAAACAGCAACCACGTTCCCCTAGTCCTGAGACCCTTATTATCAAGGGAAAATTTACAGTAACCAAAGCCCAAGAAACACCCGAACTACAACAATTACGTAATGAAGCCGATAAACTTAAACATTTAGACTCGTCCGCCAATGCCCACACCATCAGTTTTCCCAGCAGTTTTGGTGGTTATTCCTCCGTGCAGGGTCTATTCTCTCAACGCTATGGCAGTAATAAATATTCGCCAGTTACCCCCCATTTATCTAAGAAATTCTTTGATTCTTCTCTCGTCGAAATACGTACACCCACCGAAAGTACTTCGTCGCTAAATAAATTAAATTTAGATGCGGCCTCTAAAACGGGGACTAACTGTGATAATAGTATTAATATCTCTGCCACTCCACCTGCAACAAGAACCACCTCAGGTACATTGGTTCCCGGTAAGAAGCCCGAATATCGTGAGTATCCTCATTTGGATGATGTTTGGATAAAGAGATCTTCGGATTCGACACCAACTTCGTCTATCACTTCGGCCACTAGCAGCACTTTACCAAAGAAACAGTACTATACCACAGATGAGAGTGCGGCTGAGAGTGGTCTTACTACGGCTGTTCAATCGGAAGATGTAAGTTTTTATTTTATTTAAAGGTACTTTTTACCTTTTTTAAGATCGGGGGGAATTTACAGTCTTTACTAGAACATTGTCTTTACTATGTATATTCTAAAGAATAATCTGCACCAAAAACTACGCTAGTAGTCTATAGTCTAGTTTATAGTCTAGACTATGGTCTGGTATAATAAAAACTATAGTCTAGTCTATAGTCTAGTCTATAGTCTAGTCTATAGTCTTGTCTATAGTCTAGTCTATAGTCTTGTCTATAGTCTAGTCTATAGTCTAGTCTATAGTCTAGTCTATAGTCTAGTCTATAGTCTAGTCTATAGTCTAGTCTATAGTCTAGTCTATAGTCTAGTCTATAGTCTAGTCTATAGTCTAGTCTATAGTCTAGTCTATAGTCTAGTCTATAGTCTAGTCTATAGTCTAGTCTATAGTCTAGTCTATAGTCTAGTCTATAGTCTAGTCTATAGTCCAGTCTATAGTCTAGTCTATAGTCTAGTCTATAGTCTAGTCTATAGTCTAGTCTATAGTCTAGTCTACAGTCTAGTCTATAGTCTAGTCTATAGTCCAGTCTATAGTCTAGTCTATAGTCTAGTCTATAGTCTAGTCTATAGTCTAGTCTATAGTCCAGTCTATAGTCTAGTCTATAGTCTAGTCTATAGTCTAGTCTATAGTCTAGTCTATAGTCTAGTCTATAGTCTAGTCTATAGTCTAGTCTATATTCTAGTCTATAGTCTAGTCTATAGTCTAGTCTATAGTCTAGTCTATAGTCTAGTCTATAGTCTAGTCTATAGTCTAGTCTATAGTCTAGTCTATAGTCTAGTCTATAGTCTAGTCTATAGTCTAGTCTATAGTCTAGTCTATAGTCTAGTCTATAGTCTAGTCTATAGTCTAGTCTATAGTCTAGTCTATAGTCTAGTCTATAGTCTAGTCTATAGTCTAGTCTATAGTCTAGTCTATAGTCTAGTCTACAGTCTAGTCTATAGTCTAGTCTATAGTCTAGTCTATAGTCCAGTCTATAGTCTAGTCTATAGTCTAGTCTATAGCCTAGTCTAGTCTATAGCCTAGTCTATAGTCTAGTCTAGTCTATAGCCTAGTCTATAGTCTAGTCTAGTCTATAGTCTAGTCTATAGTCTAGTCTATAGTCTAGTCTATAGTCTAGTCTATAGTCTAGTCTATAGTCTAGTCTATAGTCTAGTCTATAGTCTAGTCTATAGTCTAGTCTATAGTCTAGTCTATAGACTAGACTAGACTATAGACTAGACTATAGTCTAGTCTATAGTCTAGTCTATAGTCTAGACAATAGACAATAGACTAGACTATAGTCTAGTCTATAGTCTAGTCTATAGACTAGACTAGACTATAGTCTAGTCTATAGTCTAGTCTATAGTCTAGTCTATAGTCTAGTCTATAGTCTAGTCTATAGTCTAGTCTATAGTCTAGTCTATAGTCTAGTCTATAGTCTAGTCTATAGTCTAGTCTACAGTCTAGTCTATAGTCTAGTCTATAGTCTAGTCTATAGTCTAGTCTATAGTCTAGTCTATAGTCTAGTCTATAGTCTAGTCTATAGTCTAGTCTATAGTCTAGTCTATAGTCTAGTCTAGTCTATAGTCTAGTCTAGTCTAGTCTATAGTCTAGTCTATAGTCTAGTCTAGTCTAGTCTATAGTCTAGTCTATAGTCTAGTCTACAGTCTAGTCTGCAGTCTGGACTAGAGCTTGTTCTACAATTTAGTCTGGACTATAGTCTAGTCTTGACAGTAATCTATTCTATAGTTTTGCCTAAGTCTAGTCATTATGTCTCAAATATTATTATTGTTTTTTAGTCGCCTCCGTTTGATTTCTTAAAGCCAAAATAATTTGGTTAAGGTCGGTTAAAATATAATTTAACATAAATCAAATGAAAAAAAAATCTTGTATTTTTCAAACACGTGATTAAGTGACACATTCAAATTGTACCCACACTATATTGTGCTAAAACTATAGACAACTTTGCTGTTGCAGTTAAACATTTATAATAATTAATACCTAAAGAAATGTAAACAATATTCAAAACAAGTATTCAATAAACTAAAACAACAACAAAAACGCTTCATATAGCAAAACACTAAAAAAAAATGTACGTGCCTAAAAATTTAAATATTTTGTTCAATTTTTTTTTTAATAATATTTACATTTTTGCAAAATTTTTAGAAATTCTAAGGTTTTATTTAAATACTTACTTGCGGTCTTAACCAAATACAGAAACCTTTTAGTATCTTCAACCTAATTTGGTACTTTTAGTAGCAGTTTTTAAGTGCTAAAATCCCTGGTAAATAAAAAAAAGCGTTATTGACGTCAGTTTTTTACGCTGTCTGCATATTTTTTCATATAAATATGAAAAATTCATTGAAATAATTCATAAAAAAATATGAGCGTATTAAACGAAAAGAAATTATTTTCTAAAAAAAGAATGTGCTAAAAGAAATACATACTAAGTGTTTTACGGGAGACGTTTGGAAATTTTCAGTGTTGAGAGTTCAAATCAAATGTTTTTCGCTTTTGGTTTACTTTTGTTGTTTTTGTGTGGTAAACAAATCATTTGGTTGTTTATTAATTAAGTTTTTTTCTTTTATTTCTCTTCTTTTTTTGTTTACTTTTTGTATTATTTCTTTCGCCTGAATATTTTGTCTGTTTTAACATTTTTGCCTGCAGTTAAAACAAAAACAACAAATGATGAAAAGAAAACAATTTGTTTATTTATATATTAACCAGGTATTGCAGAATTATTGGCTAATGTTTTTATTAAAAAAAAAAAAAAACATTTTTATAAAAGAATGGAAATTTTTACGAAAATAAAATTAAGCTTTCAATACAGAAGTAAACCACGACTATAGTTTTGTCTATAGACTTGATAACTGAAACATTTTCTATAGTTTCTCGACTATCATCATGTCTTTACTATCGACTATAGTTCTATAGTCTAGACTATGGTCTGGTATATAGCCTAGACTTTAGTCTGGTCTATAGACTATAGTCTGGTCTATAGTCTCGACTAAAGTCTGGCCTATAGTCTCGACTAAAGTCGTGTATAGTGTGGTCTATAGTCTCGACTATAGTCAGCCCTATAATCTCGATGTATTGTAAGGCCTATAGTCTGATCTATAGTCTCAACTAAAGTCTAGTCTATTATCTAGTCTATAGTCTAGTCCATTGTCTGGTCTATAGTCTAGTCTATAGTCTAGTCTATAGTCTAGTCTATAGTCTAGTCTATAGTCTAGTCTATAGTCTAGTCTATAGTCTAGTCTATAGTCTAGTCTATAGTCTAGTCTATAGTCTAGTCTATAGTCTAGTTAGTCTAGTCTATAGTCTAGTCTATAGTTTAGTCTATAGTCTAGTCTATAGTCTAGTCTATAGTCTAGTCTATAGTCTAGTCTATAGTCTAGTCTATAGTCTAGTCTATAGTCTAGTCTATAGTCTAGTCTATAGTTTAGTCTATAGTCTAGTCTATAGTCTAGTCTATAGTCTAGTCTATAGTCTAGTCTATAGTCTAGTCTATAGTCTAGTCTATAGTCTAGTCTATAGTCCAGTCTATAGTCTAGTCTATAGTCTAGTCTATAGTCTAGTCTATAGTCTAGTCTATAGTCTAGTCTATAGTCTAGTCTATAGTCTAGTCTATAGTCTAGTCTATAGTCTAGTCTATAGTCCAGTCTATAGTCTAGTCTATAGTCTAGTCTATAGTCTAGTCTATAGTCTAGTCTATAGTCTAGTCTAGTCTAGTCTATAGTCTAGTCTAGTCTATAGTCTAGTCTATAGTCTAGTCTAGTCTATAGTCTAGTCTATAGTCTAGTCTATAGTCTAGTCTATAGTCTAGTCTATAGTCTAGTCTATAGTCTAGTCTATAGTCTAGTCTATAGTCTAGTATATAGTATTAAGTCTAGTCTATAGTCTAGTCTATAGTCTAGTCTATAGTCTAGTCTATAGTCTAGTCTATAGTCTAGTCTATAGTCTAGTCTATAGTCTAGTCTATAGTCTAGTCTATAGTCTAGTCTATAGTCTAGTCTATAGTCTAGTCTATAGTCTAGTCTATAGTCTAGTCTATAGTCTAGTCTATAGTCTAGTCTATAGTCTAGTCTATAGTCTAGTCTATAGTCTAGTCTATAGTCTAGTCTATAGTCTAGTCTATAGTCTAGTCTATAGTCTAGTCTATAGTCTAGTCTATAGTCTAGTCTATAGTCTAGTCTATAGTCTAGTCTATAGTCTAGTCTATAGTCTAGTCTATAGTCTAGTCTATAGTCTAGTCTATAGTCTAGTCTATAGTCTAGTCTATAGTCTAGTCTATAGTCTAGTCTATAGTCTAGTCTATAGTCTAGTCTATAGTCTAGTCTATAGTCTAGTCTATAGTCTAGTCTATAGTCTAGTCTATAGTCTAGTCTATAGTCTAGTCTATAGTCTAGTCTATAGTCTAGTCTATAGTCTAGTCTATAGTCTAGTCTATAGTCTAGTCTATAGTCTAGTCTATAGTCTAGTCTATAGTCTAGTCTATAGTCTAGTCTATAGTCTAGTCTATAGTCTAGTCTATAGTCTAGTCTATAGTCTAGTCTATAGTCTAGTCTATAGTCTAGTCTATAGTCTAGTCTATAGTCTAGTCTATAGTCTAGTCTATAGTCTAGTCTATAGTCTAGTCTATAGTCTAGTCTATAGTCTAGTCTATAGTCTAGTCTATAGTCTAGTCTATAGTCTAGTCTATAGTCCTAGTCAGTCTATAGTCTAGTCTATAGTCTAGTCTATAGTCTAGTCTATAGTCTAGTCTATAGTCTAGTCTATAGTCTAGTCTATAGTCTAGTCTATAGTCTAGTCTATAGTCTAGTCTATAGTCTAGTCTATAGTCTAGTCTATAGTCTAGTCTATAGTCTAGTCTATAGTCTAGTCTATAGTCTAGTCTATAGTCTAGTCTATAGTAGTCTATAGTCTAGTCTATAGTCTAGTCTATAGTCTAGTCTATAGTCTAGTCTATAGTAGTCTAGTCTAGTATAGTCTAGTCTATAGTCTAGTCTATAGTCTAGTCTATAGTCCTAGTCTATAGTAGTCTATAGTCTATAGTCTAGTCTATAGTCTAGTCGCTATAGTCTAGTCTATAGTCTAGTCTATAGACTAGTCTATAGTCTAGTCTATAGTCTAGTCTATAGTCCAGTCTATAGTCTGATCTATATTCAATTCTTTAATCTGTATCCTAGGTTATACTCTGATCTGTATACAATCTAGTCTGTAGACCCCAGTGTTTTCTATTCCACATTCGTCTAAAATAATTTATCTTCAGTTTGTTTTGATTTGTGTTTGTTCATCCACTAATTGCCATAAAACACGTGATCCGCTCTAGAATTTTAAACAAAAATTTATATTGAAAACACAAACAATCTTGTTAGTGTTTTTTGTATGATTTGTTTTTTTCTTTAGCTAAATACTTAAGAATCAAATTCAAAACTCATGACGTCATAAGCAAATTTCTCCCAAAAACAATATAATAAATATAAAACCGAAAAAACAATAACGATTTTTTAATGTTTAAAATTTCAATTAATTTGAATATTTAAAGAATTTTGTTAAAAAAAATAAACAAGAAACTTTAAATCAAAATGCAGTCATAAATTTAAAACATTTTAAATTAAAAATAAAACAAAAAATTGCAAATTAAAAAGAAAATAATAAAACAGGTTAAATTTTGTTTATGGAATTGTTGGTAGTCAATGTTTATAAAAAAAACAACAAAAAAATTAATTCTTTAAAAAGAAATAGATTAATAAAGCTTATAGATGTTGTCTTTTAGCTTAAGGGGGTGAAATGTGTGGACTTCCAAAAAAAAGTTACTGACAGACACATGATGAGTGTTTTTTTAGGTTTCAATTTCTTTCATTAATAATTGTATTTTTTATTTGTTTGTTATTTAATTTAATAAGGTTTCCTTTGTTTTTTGTCTTCTTAATATATATTTTTATATTTCGGTTATAGACACGTTTTAATTATAATTAATATCGCCCAAAATATACACAATAATTTAATACTTCTATTATACATATATTTGCGGTTTAATTGAATATCCATTTAATTTGTAATATTTAATTATAGATTATTCTTTCTGCTAGAATTCTTTCGCCCCAAAAAAGTCGTTCTTTTATTTATCATGCATTTTTAATTTTTTCTTGATAAATTTATACTTAATTTAATGTGTAATATTTTTGATTATTTTATCAGGAACAAGATGCTAAATTACCCACATCCAGACCGTCAAGTGCACCCGCAGAACCAAATGCCAAAGCAGCTCGCAAAGCATCCAAAAAGATGAAAGAAGAAGCCAGGTAATGTATAGACGAAGTTTGATTTTTAAAAGACTTTAGTCTATGTTTCAATAGTCTGGTCTCTGGTCTATAGTCTAGTTAATAGTCTTGTCTAGACTGGTCTGGTCTGTATTCCAGTCTATAGCTTTGACTACATTATGGTCTGGTCTATAGTCTAGTCTGTAGTCTTGACTATAGTCGAGTCTATAGTTTAGTCCTGTCTATAGACTGGTCATTAGTCTCATCTATAGACTAGTCTATAATCTTGACTATAGGCTGGTTTAGAGTTTAGTCTATAGTCTACTCTTGAGTCTAGTCTATAGTCTGGTCTAGAGTCTAGTCCATAGTCTTGACTATATTCTGGTCTATAGTCTCTTGTCTATAGAACACACTCTGGTCTATAGACTGGCCTATAGTCTGATCTGGTCTATTCTGTAGTCTTGTGTATTGTCTGCTCTAAAGTCTGGTCTATAGTCTTGATTATAGTCTGTTCTAGAGTCTTGACTATAGCTTAGTCTTGTCGCTGTCTTGTTATAGTTTAGTCTATAGTATGGTCTATTGTCTTGACTTTAGTCTGGTCTATAGACTAGTCTAGTCTATAGTCTAGTCTATAGTTTAGTCTATAGTCTAGTCTATAGTCCAGTCTATAGTCTAGTATATAGTCTAGTCTATAGTCTAGTCTATAGTCTAGTCTATAGTCTAGTCTATAGTCTGGGCCATAGTTTATTCTTTAATCTAGTCTATAGTCTAATCTATTGTCCATAGCCTTTTCTATATTCTAGTCTATAGTATTAACTATAGTCGAGTCTATTGATTGGTCTATAGTCTAGTCGACAGTCTGGTCTATATAGAGTTGTCTATAGTTTGCTCTATAGTATGTTCTATAGTCTTGACTATAGTCTGTTGTATAGCATTGACTGTAGTGTGTTCTATAGGCATGACTTTAGCCTGTATACTAGTCTGTAGTCTTGGCCATAGTCTGGTCTATAGAATAGTCTATAGTCTGGTCAATATAATAGTCTACAGTCTATTCTATATGCTCGACTAAAGTCTGAACAATTTTTTGTTCTAGAGTTTAAACTATGATCTATAGTATCCACAATAATACCATCTTCTTCTTTACCCTTCCCGTAGACGCCAAGAAAAAGAAGCTAGTCGCCGCGAAAAGGAAGCACGCAAAATCGAACGTGAAACCGCAAGACGTCTCGAACGCGAAGCGGCCAAATTGGAAAAACTCAATCGTAATGCAGAGAAAATCTCACGCAGTACTGAACGTGTTAGCGGTCCTACACCACGTTCCGGTTCGCTCGAGCGTCGACGCAGTGGCGATGAATCGCCCGTACTCAATCAGTCTACCGTACACGGTATTGCTAGTCCTAATCGTAGACCCACAATTTTCGATGTATTTCGTCAGCGTGGTAAATCCGATGCGAAAAAACAGAAAATGCTATTGGATCCTTTGTCGGCTGCTGCAGCAGCATCGGGCAATGAAATGGGCAGTGCCAGTAGTACACACTCATCATCGGGTGTGGGCGGTGGAGGAGGTGGTGCCGGCGGTGGCGGTACTGGTGTTATGAATTCCATGAAAGTAGCTTTACAAAATTCCGGCCTTATTGGTGGCGGCCATCATCAGAAGCAGCAGCAACAGCATCCCGCAGTAACGATAACAACGGCCGAGGGTACGTCGGTGAAGAATAAGTACAAAGATGGTTCGGCACATCCGCATCAGGGCAGTGATGCTCATGTAAGTTGTTTTTAAGTGATTTTTGTAAGAGATTGTCTTTTTATTGAACTTTTTTCGTTTCAGTATTATCATACAGTTACGGCTGTGCGTAGAGCCGATGCTTCCCGTTCGCCCATGACCAAAGTGATGGATTTGTTTAGACATCGTTCAAATTCTGCAGCCACAGAAGCTGATAAACGTAAAGCGGTGAGTTTACAAGTTTTGTTTACTTTTGTTCAAGGCGTTATTACACTATACATTATGTTGGGTTTTCTATGAGGGTTGTGAACTTGACTAAATTTGTTTTGATGGGGGTGAGAATTTAGTTAAGACACTTTATTGTGAGGTGGATTTCATGGATTTGTTAGTGTAGCTACCAACCACTAGAGGGCGATTGTGTATTTTTTATTCTTAGGCAAGATTGAAATCAATCAAAACTGACAAAAAGTAGTATTTTATTACTTTTAGCACAAAATTTTGTTTTTGTGAGTTCTGGGGGTGTAATTTTCTCAAAAATGGAACCTTTTTAAAAATTCATATTTTTATATTTATTTCGTGAATAATTTGTTTGAAATTAGTAGCCTTTTAAGAAATTTTTTAACATCTAAAAAATCTTTAATAATAAAAAACTACCTTTCTACTACTTTTTTCTAAGGTGAAAATTAATTTTTTTTTGTTAAATTTTATTTAAATATCATAATTTTGAAATAAATTGTTAAATTTGTAAGAATTTTTGACATTTTAAAAAGGTTTATTTTACTACTTTTTTAAAATATTGAATTTTTTAGAAATTAAGTAAAATTTGTTTTAAAAATACATAAATTAGCAAAACTGATGAAAATATTAGTGAAAATTACAAAAATACAATATATTAATAAATTTACTTAAAATCTAAACAAAAATCATAAATAACAAAAAGTAGTATTTTACTACTTTTTTTACAAATTACAAATTTATGACATTTTTTGACTTAAGACATTAAAACTTAAATAATTCATTGATATTACAAAAAAATTCCCATTTTTCAAAAAGTACTATTTTACTACCTTGTTAAAATTGTTATTTTTATAAAGTTTTATTGAAAATTTAGCTTTAAAATACTTTACTACCAATATAAATATTTAAAATGTAAAAAATCTTATATATAAAAAAGTAGTGTTTTACTACCTTTTTTCAAATTGCAAAATTTTAATATTTTAGTATAAATTTCATTGCTTTTACATTAAAACTTAAATAATTTTAAAAAATTCCCATTTTTCAAATAGTAGTACTTTACTACTATTTTTAAAATTTAAATTTTCATATTTTTAAGCTAATTTTTTTTAAATTTCAACGAAACCATAAAAATATAAGGAAACTGATTAATTTTATAGAATTCCCCATAATTAGCCAGCAATAAATCTCCAATTGCCCACATAATTTGAACAGATTATAATCGTACGTTTGTTTTTATAACATTTCAATAAACATTTTTGTGAATTATTAGAAGAAAAAAAAACACTTTGTATGACGCATTTGCTAAACTGATTAAAATTAGTTGTTCAATCTAAATCAAGCTTTAACACCCATAAAGAAAATATTGTTGCAATTGCTGGAAATGTTTTTTTCAATAACAAAACTATTCACAACACTCTAGACAAAAAGGTGCTAAAGATAATGGACAAGCGATAAAGTAACCGAAGCTATTATAAAGATTTCTTATCTTTTTTTGGTGTTAAAAATAACAAAAGACGTAATCAATAATCTCTTTTTATATAAAAATTATTAACAATACACACAACACTTTACTGACAGCTGTCAATTATTGATATTTTAAATTTAAAAACAAAAATTCACTTTTTTACAGCATTATTCTAAGTTTTGTTTTGAAAAGAAAAAAAGCTTTTTTTACTTCCGTTGTTTTGTTTACATTTTGCTGCTGCGCTCTTGCTTTTCATAGTCTCTGTTATTGTTTTTTGTTTACTCATTAAAGGAGAACAATAAATGAGTCCATATTGTTATTGTTTACTTGTAAATCAGTGTTGGTCTTGCTTAAAAAAAGTACAAAAGAGGATAATTTTTTTAAATAGTTTAGTCAATAGTTTAGTCGATAGTCTAGTCTATAGTCTAGTCTATAGTCTAGTCTATAGTCTAGTCTATAGTCCAGTCTATAGTCTAGTCTTAGTCTAGTCTATAGTCTAGTCTATAGTCTAGTCTATAGTCTAGTCTATAGTCTAGTCTATAGTCTAGTCTATAGTCTAGTCTATAGTCTAGTCTATAGTCTAGTCTATAGTCTAGTCTATAGTCTAGTCTATAGTCTAGTCTATAGTCTAGTCTATAGTCTAGTCTATAGTCTAGTCTATAGTCTAGTCTATAGTCTAGTCTATAGTCTAGTCTATAGTCTAGTCTATAGTCTAGTCTATAGTCTAGTCTATAGTCTAGTCTATAGTCTAGTCTATAGTCTAGTCTATAGTCTAGTCTATAGTCTAGTCTATAGTCTAGTCTATAGTCTAGTCTATAGTCTAGTCTAGTCTATAGTCTAGTCTATAGTCTAGTCTATAGTCTAGTCTATAGTCTAGTCTATAGTGTAGTCTATAGTGTAGTCTATAGTGTAGTCTATAGTGTAGTCTATAGTGTAGTCTATAGTGTAGTCTATAGTGTAGTCTATAGTGTAGTCTATAGTGTAGTCTATAGTTAGTCTATAGTCTAGTCTATAGTCTAGTCTATA